GGAATGTGAGGATGAGAATGGAAGCCTAAAATTAGGCTAAAAATTCAATAGAGCCACCAATTGTGCTGTTCACTTCCCAACCCACCCAGCAGGTCCCATGACTCAGGGCTGACAGGGGTTGTTTTCTTCCCATTGGCACCATTTGGCTGCTGGTGACTTTCTGCAGGGATTTGTGGTGTGACACTGCTCAGGGTGTCTTGATGTTGACAAGAAGAGATGGGGAGCCTAAAATTAGGCTAAAAATTCAATAGAGCCACCAATTGTGCTGTTCACTTCCCAACCCACCCAGCAGGTCCCATGACTCAGGGCTGACAGGGGTTGTTTTCTTCCCATTGGCACCATTTGGCTGCTGGTGACTTTCTGCAGGGATTTGTGGTGTGACACTGCTCAGGGTGTCTTGATGTTGACAAGAAGAGATGGGGAAATCAATAAACCAAACCTGAAAATACACAGGGAGGAGGTTTGTGTGCCTGAGTAAAGATTTCACCTCTTTGCCTGGTGAAATCGCAGCCTAAAAAATAAAAAAGCTGTTTTTCCTTAATTTATCCTTGTTTAGGAAGTTTGTTGCCTTCTCCTTTGTGTCGTGATGAATTTCAGTTGCTTTGGGAGGAAATATCATGAAGGGCAAACACTTCCAATATAACTTTCCCTCTGTTATTCCCAGAATGATCCTTAAATAAGCTCAGGGCAGTGTTGGTGTTTGGTTATCTAAACTGGCCTAAAATAAAGGAGAATTTGCTTTGTGAGCTCCAGATCTTCTCAAGTAGTGGCACAATGTGGATTTTGGAGACTTCTGTTGCTCCCTGAGATCAGAGAGTCATGGAGTATCCTCAGCTGGAAGGGCCCCATGAGGAGCATCGAAGTCCAACTCGTGTGATAATGGAAAACATCAGGAAATTCTTATGGCTCTATCATGCAAAATCAGCTCAAATTCACTTTGCCACCACTGGAGCCACCAAAGCATGAGGGAATTCCAAAGGAAGTATTGGAAACAATCTGAAATCTTCTATTAACTTAAAAAAAAAATCAGGATTATTTTGGTTTAATTCCCATCTAACATTCCATAATGCTCCAATGGCAGTGAAGATGATGATACAAAGCTTTCCTTGCTGCTTGGAAAAGTGGCAACACCTCATTTTTTGTTAGAGGTAGAGATTAATTAAGGCTTCAGAGAGAAGCTCAGTTGGTTTGTTCCTCAGGCAACAGGTAGCTGTGGTTGTATCCTGGGAATGCTGTGGGATGCTCCCACCTTGGGGTAGTTATGCTGCTGCAGGTCAAGCACTGAGTGGGTTCAATTCACTCTCTCACTGAAAGAGTGAAATGCTGATTTTACTCAAGATTCTGATCCCAACAGCTCTTGCTGTGCCAAACTCCAACATTCCCTAACTGTCCTGTTGTCCCCCAGGATCAGGAACGAGCAGACAAGCTGCAGAAGCTGCAGGCAGAAAGGGAGGAGAAGGGAAGGCTGAAGGAAGAAGCAAAAGCTGCGAAGGAGAGAGCTAAGGAGGAGGCAAAGAAGAGGAAAGAGGAGGAGAAGGAGCTGAAAGAGAAAGAAAGGAGGGAAAAGAAGGAAAAAGAAGAAAAGGAAAAGGCTGAGAAGCTGCGAGTGAAGGAGGAAAAACGCAAGGAGAGGCAGGAAGCTCTGGAGTAAGTGCTTGGTTTGTGCAAGGATTGTCCCTGTCCATGTGCTGGTTTCCATGCCCACCTGAACTGGCCCTTCCAGAGGCTGTACTGGCTCTGCCATGGGATGTGTTTCCTAGACTCAGAGAACCATCAGGGTTGGAGGAGACCTCTGAGATCATCAGGTCCAACCCTTAACCTGTCACTGCTCTAACCCCTAAACCATATCCTCCAGCACCAGATCCAGACACCTCTTAAACACCTCCAGGGATGGTGACTCCACCACCTCCATGCCTGAAAGGCTCTGGCCACCTGATCCCTGTCTGAGCAGAGCTCTGTGCTCACAGCCTGCCCTGGCTCTGATGGGGAATGGCTGAAAGGAGCTGTCATGCTCCACTGAACTTTCCCTTCTTGACCTGTCCTGCTTGTACTGTGCAATCTGTGCTGGCACTGGGGCCCTGTTTGTTGAGGAAGTTACTTGTAACTTTTTGATGCCATAAATACCATTTGCTGGTGTTCAGGGAAACGTGAAGCAGCTTAGCTGGTTTGTGGCTCCAGTGGGTCAATATTTGCTCTAGAAGGGATGAAGAAATTCTTTTCTGTGCTTAGGCAAGTGTGGGCCTTGGCTGGATTGATAGATGATCTTCTTGCTTAACACAGAGGGTTCTAGAGCAAGGTCTGAGGCTTCTCACCTCTTCCTCAGTGTAAATAAACACTTCATGGTTTGTGACAGTTCAAATGAACTTTGTATTCAAGGGCCAAACTTGAGGAGAAGAGGAAGAAAGAAGAGGAGAAACGGTTAAGAGAGGCAGAAAAGGTACAGGTGCTTTCTTTGACTTGTCTCTAATTTCTTTTGCTGTGGTGAAATGATGTGAAGGAGCTCCCTGGCACCTTCCCAGGGGCTCCTGTGGTTCTCCAGCCAGTGCTCCCGGCCTTGGTGCCACTTGGGATGGAGCAGGTCCCTCTTGGGGTGCAACCTGTGCCATCTGACCTGCTGCTCCACCCCTTGTATCCTCCACCTTTCCCTCCTGTCCCATACATGTCCATGTCCTTTGCTTTCACCCTTTCAAGTCTTTCCTCTGTGTGTTTTCCCAATGGCTACAAGTGAATCCTTTGCCTTAGCAATGACTTTGGTATCTTCATCGCTGTGTTAGAGGAGACAATTAGTGCTTTTGTTGAGTCACTGAACCTTGTTTTTGTCCCTCACTAGATTGGAAGTTGAGTCATGCATGAGCTCACCTTGAATTATAAAGCTTTGCCCTATCTTTGTGTTCCTAATTTGCATTTTTTTGCTTCTCATTTCAGCGACTCAATGCTCAGAAAGCAGAAATTACCAGGTTCTTCCAGAAACCAAAGACTCCACAGGCCCCAAAGGTGAGGGATTGATATTCCTGTGCTCTGTTGTTCTCTCATTAGTTCTTCTAACAGATACCCTGAGTTCCTTCTCATCTGCCCCTTAGAGCTTCTTAGGTGGACGAAGCATTAGTTTGTCTTAGCTTAGAAGTGTAAAGGATGTTAAGACAAAAGTTAGAGCAGAGACTACACAAGTTTGTGGTTGGTTTAGTAAAACTTCAGCTCTGTCTTGGCTGTAGAGACCTCAATTGCCTTGAAGTTGGAGTCTTAGGTAGGAACGACTTGACCTAAATCATCATCTCCGGCCAACACACCTCAACACCAGGTGCTGTCCTGGATGTTGGTGCTGAGTTCCTCAGGTGTTCTGACACTCCTCCCTTGCTCTTTCAGATCCTTGCAGGCTCTTGTGGCAAGTTTGCTCCTTTTGAGATTAAGGAGAACATGGTTTTAGCTCCGCTCAGTCGTGTTGCCCTGGATCCAGACTACTTGGAGCAGTTGGATAAGCTCCTACACACACAGAGCAGTGAAGTTTCTTTCCTGAGGGACCTCAAGTGTCGGAAACCACGGAAAACTGGCCCTACTTTGGTCAGTAACAGCACTGACACAGTGAACAGGTTAGTCTGTGCTTTGAGGGCTTTATCCCCTTTGATTTTTACATCATGAATGGGTTTGAAGTTGGGATTCATGTTGGAGAGCATGGAAAATGAAGCTTTGCTTTGAACACTCATTTTGGCATGAGGATTGTCTCTACAGGGAGCAGCACATTATGATGATTTCCTTCAGTGCTGCTCCAATCCTTTCCTGCAGGAAATCTTGTGCTCCAAGCAGCTGCTTTGGAGCTCTGGACACTCCTGGCCCTCAGTGCTGCTCAGCCCCAAGCAGTTGCTTTGCAGCTCTGGACACTCCTGGCCCTCAAATCTTGTGTTCCAAGCAGTTGCTTTGGAGCTCTGGACACTATTGGCCCTCAAATCTTGTGCTCCAAGCAGCTGCTTTGGAGCTCTGGACACTCCTGGCCCTCAGTGCTGCTCAGCTGGGAGAAGTCTAACAAGTAAACATACTGGTAGCTAAAGCAGAGGTGGTGTGAGGGGGAAGTGGATTGTCTGGAGCTCACATTCCTGCAGAAGGGTTGGGAGAGGATGTTCTAATGAATCCCAGAATGGTTTGGCTTGGAAAGATCAGCTAGTTCCACCCCCCTGCCATGAGCAGGGAATTAACTCAAACTCTGGGTTGGGATTGTGAGCAGGGAATAACTCAGGCTCTGGGTTGGGATTGTGGCAGAACTGAAGCTCTCCAAGATGTTCCCCTGAGCAGAAGGGATGTACTGTGAGTGCTGAAGAATGTTCACCTTTTGTGCTCCCAGTGACGTGGTGGTGGTGATGGATAACTGCCAAACAGATGCTGTTCCTGAAAGGGAAAAGTTTGGGAGAATGAAACTCCTGCAGTTCAGTGAGAATCACCGTCCTGCATACTGGGGCACCTGGAACAAGAAAACCACCCTGATCCGTGCCAGGAATCCATGGTCCAAGGACACTGTAAGCACCTCATGAGGGTGGTTGGATCCTTTCCTCCTTTATGCTCTGAGTGAATATGTCCTTGGCCAAGTTCTCTGGGCTTTCAGAGCCACGTGCATGTTCCCTCAGGGTTTTGAAACCCTGAATAGGGTTTGGTGTTGTGTTCTCAAGTGACTCACAGAAATGGCTTGTTGGCATCTCTTGTAGAAACTCCTGGACTATGAAGTAGATAGTGATGAAGAATGGGAAGAGGAGGAACCTGGAGAAAGTCTCTCTCATAGTGAAGAGGTGAGGATAAAAAGCTTGGAGAAGCCAGCAGTGTGCCCGGGTGACCAAGAAGGTCAATGGCCTCCTGGTTTGTACCAAAACTAGTGTGGCAGCAGGACCAGGGCAATGATTGTCCCTCTGTGCTGGCACTGCTGGGGCACCTGGAGTGTGTGTGCAGTTCTGGGCCCTCCATGCAAGAGAGACATTGAGGGACTGGAGGTGTCCACAGAGGGGAATGGAGCTGGGAAGGGGCTGGAGAACTTCTGAGGAAGCTCAGCCTGGAGACAAGGAGGCTCAGGAGGACCTTTGCTCTCTCCAGCTCCCTGATAGGAGGTACAGCCAGGTGGGGGTTGGAATTGCTCCCAGGGAACAAGAGGGAATAGCCTGAAGCTGCACCAGGGGAGATTCAGGTTGGACATCAGGAGGAATTTCTCCATGGAAAGGGCTGACACACCTTGGAACTGCCCAGGAAAGTGGTGGAGTCACCATCCCTGAGGTGTTCAAGGCACGACTGGACGTGGCACTCAGTGCTCTGCTCTAGTTGACAAGCAGTGATGGGTCACAGGTTGGACTTGATCTCAGAGGTTTTTTCCAACCTCAAGGATTCTGTGACTGCATGACACTTGTATGATTCCTAACAAACTGATTTTCAGGATGATGAAGAGGAGGGAGAGGACGAAGATGACGACGATGGGTTTTTTGTACCCCATGGGTACCTATCTGAAGATGAAGGGGTGACAGAAGTAAGTGAACTTGTCTGGCACTGGGGATGTCATCTCTTCCCAATCTCTTCCCTCCTGGAATGAGTGTGTTGAGTTGTTTCTCTCCTGTGGCTTTAGGAGTGTGACCCAGAGAATCAGAAGGTTCGGCAGAAGCTGAAAGCAAAGGAGTGGGATGAGCTGATAGCCAAGGGCAAGAGGTTCCATGTCCTTCAGCCTGTGAAAATTGGCTGCATCTGGGAAAGGGCAGAAAAGGATAACAGCACAAACATGGACCTGAAGGTTCTCCAGCAGTTCACAGCATGTGTCCTGGACCCACCTGTGGCAGAGGAAGAGCAGCAGATCCAGAAATGTAGCAAAAAAGCTGCAAAAGATCAGCAAAGTAAGTCCTGAAGGACTAAAGAGTTAATTCCACACTGATATGCTCTGCTTGGGAGAGACTAAGGGTTTGATGAAGTGTTAAGTTCAGAATGACCTGTTTCTGACAGGCTGAAATCCAAGGAATTTCAGAGCTCTTGGCCAGGAGTTTTCTGGCAGTGCAGTTGGTGTGGCCTTAGCAAAGCTCTCCAAACCTTCTTGCTTTAGACAGTTGAGGAAAGAAATCCAACAAGGCTTGAGTAGGCTCAGATTTAGCATCATAGTATGTGACCATATGTATATTGAGCCCAGTGATTATTGTTTGGGGGGAGAGGGTTTGGTGTCTGATGGTTTGAGGCTTGAGCTTTTCCTGCACCTGATTAACACCAGGCTGTGACTAACACACATAAGGCCAAGCAGAGGGTGAAGCTTTCACTTCAGGGTGTTATTGGGGGTGAGTTTGCTCCATCAAATTTAACTCCTCTTACAGTCATGGAATCTCAAAGTGGGTTGGGTTGGAAGGACCTTAAAGTTCATCCAGTTCCATCCCTGCTATGGGCAGGGACACCTTCCACCGGCTCAGGTTGCTCCAGGCTCCAAACCTGGCCTGAAACACTCCTAGAGATGGAGCAGCCACAGCTGCTCTGGGAAATCCATTCGAGTGTCTCAGCACCCTCACAGGGAGGAATTCCTTCCCAATATCCCATCTTTCCCTGCCCTCTGGCAGTGGGAAGCCATTCCCTGTGTCCTGTCCCTCCATCCCTTGTCCCAGGTCCCTCTGCAGCTCTCCTGGAGCCTCTTCAGGCACTGGAAGAGGCTCTAATGTCTCCCTGGAGCCTTTTCCTCTCCAAGCTGGCCTGGAACACTTCCAGGGATGGAGCAGCCACAGCTGGCAATCCCATCCCTAAAATTCACCTCATCTCTTCCCCTCTGGATCATGTCCTGATCACTTTTATGCTATCCAGGCTTTTCCCCAACCTTTTAACACTTCTCCCCACCCCTTTTTTGCATCCTTCTCACAGTCCTCGGCCACCTCCTGCCCCTGCTCCACGGCAACGTGCACGGGAGCAGGGTGATCATCCAGGAATTCCAGGAATGCTGCCGGCAGGGACTGTTCAGCGATGTTAGCACCACCGAGGGCAGTGACACCAGCCCAACACGGCCACAAACCCCCGTGGGGGAGGCCCAGGGGGTCCCTTCCAAGGCCAGGCTGAAGAGGATCATCTCTGAGAACTCTGTGTATGAGAAGAGACCTGAGTATCGCATGTGTTGGTATGTGCACGCAGAGGTGCTGAAGAGCTTTGCCCAGGAGCATCTCCCAGTCCCTTGTCAGTGGAATTACATCACCTCAGTGCCCTGCACGGGAAAGGAGGAGGGTGGCACTGTGCTGAGCACAGCTGTCCTGCAGACCACCCCTGTGGCAGCCAAGAGGAAGGCCATGGGGAGCATGTCCATCACCAAGTTCATGAAGAGACCTCGGGATGCTGAGCAGGTGAGTTGTTGTCAGGGTGTTCTTCCCCAGGAAGGAGCACTGGGAATGTGTTTGCAGCCTGGGCTGCCTCCCAGTTCATCCTAGAGCCAAACCACTAAGCTCCAGACCATGCAAGAAGACACTTTTTCTGGGCAGAGGAGTGAAATGATGTGACTCCAGTGATAGGATTCCTTTGTGTGTGTGAGAGCTTGGCCTCTCTGTTCCATTCGTAACATTGCTCTCCTGCTGTTCTTCCATTCTCTGCGATTTGGCAGGGATTGCATCCAAGCTGGGAATAGTTTCTGAGTGTCTCCTTGGCCGTGGTTTTCCAGCTGTGTGTGATTTGTATGCAGGTTTTGCTGTGGCTGCCAGATGTAGAGTCTGAGCTGATGACTTACAGCAGTTGCATCTGAACTGATTAAATGTGGTTCCTGAGAGCTCTAACTCAGCCCAGAATAGTCTGTGTAGTCTGCAGCTCATCCTGATATATATATGTATAAAGCTGAATTTCTGGTTTTAAAATATCCTAATTCCCAGGGATATAATGAGATGGAATTGGAGGAGTTGCTACTCCAGCTTTAAGCTTTGTTGTGGTTTTCCTGTTGTTGCTTCTGCTTTTCAGGGTAACCACAGGTAGTACTGAGAGTTTAAGCATTCAAAAGGATGACTGAAAAATGTGATTGTGCAATCACAGGGCAGGTTGGGTTGAAAAGGACCTTAAAGCTCATCCAGTTCCATGGGCAGGGACACCTCCCATTAAGCCCAGGTTGCTCCAAGCCTCATCCAACCTGGCCTGGAACACTTCCAGGGATGGAGCAGCCACAGCTGCTCTGGGAAATCCATTCCAGTGCCTCAGCACCTCCCAGGGAGGAATTTCTTCCCAATATCCCATCTGTCCTTGCCCTCTGTCCATGTGAAGCCATTCCCTGTGTCCTGTCCCTCCATCCCTTGGAAATATTCTCTCTCCCTCTTTCCTGTTGGCTCCTTCAGGCACTGAAGGTCACCCCAGAGCTTTAGCTGTGGGATACTCAGTGCTGCTGTTAACACAGTGAGGCTTTAGGTGCTGAAATTTGGTGTTAGGAACACGACAGGTCCCTCAGGCAGCTAAGGGTTTGCCCTGTCAGTAGATTATTCCTCCTGCTCTTGGCACCAGGTCAGGAAAGAATCCCAGAATGGTTTGGGTTGAAAGAGACCTTAAAGCCCATCTCATTCCACCCCCTGCCACGGGGCACAGATAAAGCTTTTGATGCTTTTCCTTCCCAATTTATTTCTGGCTTTTCTGCTGCAAAACTCAGCATTCAGGTATTGATAGAGATCAGAGACTTGTGAGAAGCTGTTCAGCCCCCAAACTCCATCTGCTTGGG